GATCTAAGCAGCCTCCATATGAAATCTACTTGTGTTTTGGAGAAGAATGGCCTGATGGTAAGCCAAAGGAGAGGAAGCTGATTATTGTGCAGGTGAGTCTAGCTATTGCTGCACAACTAGCAAGAAATAATAAATGTGAAGTGAAAAGCTGTTTAAAAGAAATGATAAATGGATGTAAAGTAAGTTATTTGGTACAGCACTATTCAAACTGCCTACAATAAAATGATCCTGGCTAGTGTGCCCCAAAACACCAATCCACAATGTTTTTTTGTGTAACAATTTAACATCATACAATTGTGTTAGATTAGTTACCACCACTTGCCTCACCCTGAAGCAATTTGCAGGTAGAACAGTAGACAAAACAAACTTTGCTGCTTTCATGCAATTATGTATTGTTACTTAACTGTCATTAGAACTATATATCGATCTTAATCAGCTTACCCTTGGGTTCATAAACCTGGCTTGTAGTGTTTTCTGGTTCTACATGCCATGATGTCTCATTCCCATCATCACCCCTATCCCTCCTCTGTTTTCTCTTCAGTGCAGCTCAAGGCCCCAAGCAATCTGTTTAAGTAAATGTATAATATTTTATACATGCACATACACCCTGCTTACACAATTTGTTTTGCTCCCACGGCATGAAAAAAGCAATGCATTCAGAAATGTTGCCAACCACTCCGACTATCTAAGGTAGTAGTAGTCAGCCCACTTCCTGGTAGGCTGAGAAGACCAGAAGTCCAAGAAACCCTCTCACCTAAGAAAAATCAAAGTTTATTTTTTATTGCCATCTGATTGGGAATTTGTGCCTTGGTGTCTGTGTTGGTGACCACACAAAGAACAGAAAAACATCCTTAGTGGGGACACAAATGGCAAAGAGAACCAAATATATCTTATTACCCTTGTCCATTCTATCCAAAAATAATAAAAAAATTCTGAGCTCTCTGAACTGGACATGGACTCAACAAATGAATAACTGCTATGTTCTGGGAATCAATCTAGAATGATTTATTGTGCCAGAGTCTTTGGTATTACTGAGCTGAATTATGTTAGCACATGGGAATTAATGCTTTCTGGGCCAGGTCCTTTTATATACATTTTATTTGGCTACCTCTTCCTGCGTGAAGCAAGTATGTTTTTAATCAGGAGCATAAGGTAGCTCTCAAACATATTAGCAACAACTGGCCACTCTTTTTGAAAAGACAGGTGAAAAATATATAAGGGGTCATTTACACGTGTGTGCACATCTCTATGGCATGCATGCCCTTACAGAGACTGCTCCCAGAAGGGATAGTTAGGGAAATGTTAAAGCTATAGTATTTTAAAATGTATAGATTGGCTAACTCCACTTGGTTTCAGTGTCTTTAACAGTGCACATTCAAACTCTACAAAACTAAGTGCTTTAATAAAGTTTTTTTGTGGATTTCTTGTATTCTTTATTTTAACGTGTTATTCAATACCATCTCTAATAGTTGCCCATATGAATAACAATGTCACGCCTTTTGTAGATATAGTCTCTTGCATTTATTAACATTGTACATTTTATATTTTTACTGCCACATATTTTTGTGTTAACCTGTTTTTATTACCTGCATCCCTACCATTAAATGACCCGAACTTTGAACGCTTTTTTACCCTACTTGACTTTTTTTGGGTAAAGTACTATTTACCATCATTTCTCTTGGTAATCCTTTACCCATTAGACACTTAACATGTCTTGTTCTACACTGTGCTTTTGTGTAGAGGTGGCCATTTTGGTAGAGGAGCAGGGCTTTGCTTACTCTTGTTAGGCACAATTAACCTTTCTCATTGTTCCCCTGTAAGTTAGCAGATCTTTTTTGAGTTCGGGTCCAATTTAAGCTTCATCCATAGTCAATACACTTCAGAGATTAACCTTTTATTTTCTATTGTTCACAGATCATTCCAGTGGTAGCTCGGATGATTCTTGAGATGTTCTCTGGAGATGTAACTCGATCCTTTGAAAGTGGAAGCGTTCGCCTGCAAATTTCTGTTCCTGATATTAAGGATAACATTGTTGCCCACCTCAAACAGCTTTACCGCCTCCTACAGAATCACCAGGGTCCAGACACATGGCCAATGTTACCACATCAGAACATGCAGCAACAAAATCTACAACCACCAAATCTGCACCCTGCAAATATGCAGCCACCAAACCTACATATCGCTCAGGCACTGCAAGCTCAGTGATGCCACGGATCATAACTTTGGGAACTTTGTATATTACCCACTGGAAACTCTCCTTACTCTGCATGGTAGTTGGGACTGTTGAGGCAGATATTGCTTTGACTTTGTTTGCTTTAAGGATGATTTTCAGTATTCTGTTTAATCCTGGAAAGAAGGCCCCGTACAATATTGCAGTCAGCTGTTTGTGCATGTATGAGTCAATGAGTTCTTACCCTGTGTTTTATAGTAGCAGTTCACTGAGATACCTACAGAAAACTTCTAAATGTAAAATATCTAACGCTCTACACTTTAAGACTTCTCGGAAAACTCATTATACCTTTTGAGCGCAGTAGGAGTTATGAGGGTAATAGTTATGTAACATTTATATTTACCTTTTCTGCAGACTTGCTATTTAGATCCACAACAGTGACGTTCCTTGAATGAAATTGCCCCTAGTTAATGCCCCGTGTTCTGCTTGTCAGTTCCCTTGTAAAGTCAGTAGCACATAAACCTTATTCTAACAGGAGCAGCACAAGACAGAGTTCATTGAAAGGAACTTTTGTCAAAGGATCAAATCTGAAAGGCCATAAGTGTAAGGTCATGTTTAGACTTGTCTCAACCCCTATGCCTTTCACCTAAAATTCAAATGTAGTTCTAGGTGAAAGGCTGCTTTATTTTCAGAAATCTATTACCAGTATGTGCCTCAAGAAAGCTGGATTTTCTATGGCATAATCTTTCTGTAGATTTTAATGTGGTCTGAAGAATTTAATACATATTTATTGCTTTTAATGCGTCATAAACCATATTCTGCAGGTTTGTGAATTATAGATGTTAAACAATGTTTTGTTGGAATCACTACACTGTATGCAGAACTATGCAGAGCAAGCTTTTGTACAGCACAATAATTCTTCCAGTACAGTTCTATTCTCCAGAATGCAGATTTTTTATTTTTTTTGGAAAGAGTAAATGTTTCTATTGCTTTCAGACTGGCTGTTGTTTTTCTTTTATCTTTTAAACTTGCTACTGATACTACCCAGCCTGGAGTAAAAAAAGCTTTTGTAACCTCACTGTTGGTGTCAGAACTATCACAAGACTAAAGCTGTCCATACACTGTAATATTTTCTTTGATCAAACTGTGTGGGCCGAACAAAAAAATAACAGATTCCTCCACTTATAAGCATTGACTGAGGAATCTCTTGCTTTCTTCATTGTACTCTTAAGTGCGACCGCTGTCAGAATACCCGAACAGAGCCGGCAGCTCAGTGGCTTCCAGCTCTGTTTGTTCGAAGATTTTCCAACCGCCTCCTTCAATCACGTAATCGAGGGATGTCGCCCAAAAGGGTGTCGACAGCGGCACCCACTGTGTGAATTCTCGATGAAGCGGACAAAATTCGCATAGTAAATGGCCAGCTTTAGACCACTGGTACAAACACCCCAAAACCCACCATCACCACCATAGTGTAATGACTCTCCATCCTAGCAATTAGCCACTTAGGCACTGAGCACTTAATTGTAAGAAGAGAGGGTCAAATGTTTCTCCAAGCCAGGAAGTACCAGCTAACTTGATACTTTCACCTTGAATGAGCAATGGTGCAACTGCAGGTAATAACCAACACTGGTATTGCCATCCAAGGAAAATATACATTTTCATTGGTTTTTTTTCTACTTAATTTTTTTAAAATGTATTTAAAAAAATACATTTGATTTTTTTATTTCTATTTTATATAAACTTTTACTCTTCAAATAAATGTGATAGAGTGTGATGTGTTGCTCTCTCATATCCCACATATTGCACTTTCAGATCCCATACTGCCACCATGATGTGACGCATTACACTCCCAGCCTCGCCCTGTGCTGAGATTTTGTGGCTCACAGGTCAACAATCTAAGCACCAGTAGACAGAGTAAGACCCTGTTCACATTGAGCGATTTATCGCGCGGTAATTCCCGCGATATCGCGCTCCAATGCAATCCAATGGGGCAAAGGCTCCTGCTGTCGCGGGTCGTGTGTCGCTACAGCAGGACCCTTTTTGGAGCGGATTTAGCCGTGATTCAAGCTTGCTCAATGCAAGCTTGAACGCAACATCGCGTGGGAAATCTCATGATGTCGCGCAATATGCAAATCGTGCGACAAACGCGCCATTTGCATATCGCGCAGTGGGAACGGGGCCTTAATGTCACTTCGACAGATTAATTCTGCAGTTAACCCCCTTACACAAAATAAGTGGCCACCACCATCATATTCTGTGAACATGCACTGTTGACAGCATCTGCTGTAGCAATTCTAATCTATAAGAAATGTTTGTGACACTGGAGGCCATGTCCAGATTGGAATGTGACGGACTTTAAAATATGGTAGCCTTCTTCAAAGAGACACGGATTCTTTAATTTCTGATTTTAGCGCATTCGGCTTACTTATTTATAGTATTGTTTTGGTGAAAGAAAAGGGTGCAAGAAAATCTTTACAGAAAAGATGATGCAAAACTGACAATAAGAAACCGCATAATAAACAAGATTAGAGGTGCAAAGTTCCCCTGGTCTTTGGTTTCATGCAGAGTAACCCAATCTGATTTCCTAGTCACCAGCTCCCATGAATTACTCTTTACCATTTTCCTCATAGTTTCGAGGGAAATTACAGCTACTAAGCTGTAGTTTTTATGATGTTTCAGTGGACACTCCCTTAATATCACATTTCTACTTGTATCTTTATTTTCAAATGAAAAGGTTTCACAATCGAACAGCCAACATAATAATTTCATAAAATAATGGTTTCTGATGGCTCTGCTTTGAGCTAATTGTGGGGGTTTTTTTTTTTTTTAAAGGGTGTTCCAATCTGGCCTGTGGATCTTTTATAATTGTCACCTTCTCCACCACAGGCATAAACTCTAAATCTCACCAATTTTATTGCTGATAAATTTGGGAGAAATTAGGGTGGCACTGTGTTTGGTAAGACTTTCCCATTTTTCCCACTGATTTTGGGATTCTTCAGACCTTATTATTACACAGGTTCACTCGTAACACAATTGCAGTACAAGATTTATCGCAAGGTTGGATCAGCGGTAATTAAAAGAAAGCAATTGGACGAATTGCAGTAATCGACCGCATGTATTTTCGTCTGCGCATGGGCAGTGTAAATCGTAAAAGTATTGCAATGAGGTTCTGTATTGGCTTCTTTCCTCAATTCCTATCCTGTGTTTTGGCTCCTATTACCTCATTGATGTGTTGAAGACTGCCATTTAACATGTCCTTGCCAGAGTCTTCAACGAAATAAGGAGGAGCCAACACACAGGAGGGAATCGAGGATAGACCCCAATACTGAACCTCATTCCACTATTGACGTTCAATACTGTGCGTGCGCTGATTGGTGCACACTTTAAGAGAAGATCTAGAGTGGTTGATTTGACTGTGGGTGTGACCCAAATAATGGGTCAACATATGCAGTAAATGTGAGTGAGATATCCAGTCCAACAAAGAAGGTGAGAGAATGGGCACAGAGGGGCAGGGATTACTCACTAATGAGGTGGTCAACATGTGGAATATCCTAAACGCAGTCACACAGACTTTTTGGAATATAGCAGGGATCGTCATGCACGACACAGAATTTTAGTTTAGTTACAGATTATTTAACATTTGCGAGTTTGCATGGATATTGACACTTGTAATCTAATAGTATAGCTAGGGTTTAGAATAGTGTTGCGCTTGTTCTATGTTTTCTTTGCAGGTTTGATGTATTATACATTTGAAGTGCTGGCAAGCTGTAGGTAAGCTTAGGATTTGTCACAAACCAAAGCAGAAGTACCCCATCAGTACTTCGTTGGGCCACCTTTTGCCTTCAATACTGCGGCGATTCTTCTTGGCATTGACTCCACGAGATGTTGAAAGGCGATGCGAGGAATCTGATAACACTAATTTGATGCACAGTTGCCCTTCTGTTGTCTTGTACTGACGGCCACAATTCGCGGCGTTCAGACCCACATTTTCGGCTGACAGTCCAGTCTTTAAACACTTTAACAACAGCTGCTCTTGAACATTTAACGAATTGTGCTGTTTTGCTGATACTCGCTCCATGGCTTGAGCGCCAACAATCATCCCATGTGCAAAGGCTGTTAAATTGCGTTGTTTACCCGTATCTTCAGAAAAAAACCCTTCTACTGTCGTGGTAAACAACCTGCTTCCCTATTTATAATGGTCTGGCCCTCTAGCAACTTCACCGCAAAATTATAGCTAATTTGCCTACAAACGTCAGGTGGTCATAATAATCTGGCCACTCAGTGTGTAAAAATATATATACATTTTTTTTTTGTTAATATGGATATTTTAAAATGATTTAGAATAATGAGTGAACTTTAATAAAGAAATATATATTTGCATTGCATCGGTCAAGGCATTGATCCTCTGTTTATAAGGAGTATTAATGTGATACACAAGCAGGATCTTGGGTCAATTAAAGATAATAAAAGAGAAGAAACAAATGTGGATTAAAATTGAACATCTAATACAGAAAAACAAATCTTATTATATTGCTAAGAAATTTTAGTGGTTTCTAATATTTAATTTAGTCACAAATTAACCATTTGGGGTTTCAAGAGGCGCTGAGAAATGTAATTATGTTTAAAACAACATCTATTTATTGATTCAAACAACACATTAAAAATCATAATAAATATAGTAAAACATGTAGAAGAATCCATAAATTATCCCCTCAAAAGATAAACCTCCTGCAGCCACATACGTGATTAGTATCCATTGATTATTAAAATTGTATCAAGAATGTCCATATTGAATCTCATTATACAATCTTTACGCTGTGGCATGTTTTGTTCCCGATGGGTTTCGCTGATGTGCTTCCTCGGCGGACCAGAGGTAACTCATCAAGGGGTGTCAGCATACGCACTGGATCGCATTACAGCAGGCTCAGTTTTTTGTGGGGCGTGGAAGGGGCGTTTTAATGCATTCAATTAGCTTAACTATTAATAATACTGTATTTTATTTGTGTAGCACTTAGCTGTAGATCCTCAAATCTTCTCTGAATTGGTGCGGACACTGTCCTTCCTTCTGGTGGCTACTTTTGTTCCCCATGGTCCCTGTATGTGTTGTAAAGTAGGCACCACTCCAAGACTTCAATCTCACATATGATATACTAATGTAGCGCTCACCCCCGAAGGAGCCGCTGGATGATCGGGTCTTCTGTTTCACCTCTGTGACACACCACAAGCAATGAACCCACAGCACACCTTGTGAAGTTTTATAACAGATTTAATGACTATGGA